AAAAGAAATAAAAATCAAATGCTTAGAATGAAAGGCGAAGATTATGTAGGCTTTTCTCGGGACAAAAACAAAAACTTTAAACATAATATTCCTCGGGCGGCAAGGAAAATTGGAGAACCCTGCGTGTCAAAAATGTGTATAAAATCTAAGAAAAGGTTCTGCAATACTTTTAGTGAACAGATTAGAAAAGAAATATTTGCTAACTTTTGGAAAAAGATGACGTGGGATCAGAGGAAATTGTTTGTGTCTGGACATGTGAGCCTTCAATCTACATCCAGAAAAACGAGGGAAAGTGAAGGTAGTAGACGGGAAAATACCATGGTTTATAAACTTCACAATGGTAAAGAGTTAGTTCAAGTATGCCGTAAGTCATTCCTTAATACCATAGGTTTAGGGAGATTCACGATAGAGAGCTGGATAAAAAATAGTGTGTATAACATGAACGAGTCAAAATGCGAGCAAAACAAACGACGTAAAAATAGAAATTACAGGGTAAATGCTTTTGAAGAAAGCAAAGCTTTTATGAGTTGGTTTTTTGATGAACTTCCCAAACAGTTTTCCCATTATACAAGAAAGGATAGCAACAAATTATATTTAGAACAACATTTTACTACACTAAAGCAGTTGCATAATTTTTATAAGGAAACCTGTATCAAAGAAGATAAACAATTTCTTAGTCCTCAAACATTTAAACTAATGTTTAAAGAAAAGAACCTTAGTTTATTTTCGCCAAAAAAAGATCGTTGTGATGTGTGTATTGAATATGAGAATAAAAATATTGATGAAAATCTATGGAAAAAACACATTGATGACAAGGAAATGGCTAGAAAAGAACAGTCTAATGACAAGGCTAAGGCATTAAAAAAAGAATGTATTTTATTATGTATGGATCTACAAGCAGTGAAAGTCGCTCCATCCCTAAATGCGACCAAAATATATTTTAAGACAAAACTGAGCTGCCACAACTTTACCGTTTATAATTCTGCTAGTCACCATGTTACTTGTTACTGGTTCACTGAAATTGATTGCGGACTACAGGCCTCCACGTTTGTTTCATGTGTGCTTGATTATTTAGAGAGGCATTGCTTAGGACATAATCTACCAATTATAATTTATTCTGACGGATGCACATTCCAAAATAGAAATAATATTTTGTCAAATGCCTTATTAAACTTTGCAATTATGCACAGAATCTCTATTACTCAAAAATACCTAACTAAAGGTCACACGCAAATGGAGTGTGATTCTGTGCATAGTTGCATAGAACGAAAATTAAGGAATAGGGTAATTGAATTGCCTAGTGACTATGTTAAAGCATCAATGGAAGCCAGAATAAAACTGAGCCATATGAAGTCACTCAGCTAAGACACACATTTTTTAACGATTACAGTTTATCAGAAAGCCATCGTTATTCCACTATAAGACCAGGCAGAGATAATCTTGTAACAGACATTAAGGCTCTATATTACGACACCAACGGTGAAATAAAAGTGAAGCTTGATTTTAGCTTAGAATTTCAGAATCTTCCATGCAGACCAAAACAAATGACTCCTATTTTGAACTATCCTAAGCTCTACAAAGAACGCTTGCCAATTACACAGAAAAAATGGAAACACCTCCAAGAATTGAAAAGTGTTATATCCCAAGAGTGTCACTTATTTTATGACAATCTACCATACATACAAGATCGTACTGGAAAAAATATTAAAAATCCAAATGGAAATAGTATACAAGAAATCAAAAATTCAAAATCTCGGGCCAAGCAAGTACAACCCAAAAAAAGGCGAAACTAAGTTTCATTAAATTTTCTTTGTTTTAAGTTATTTTATTTTTTATAAATAACTACATTTCATTGTTTTTGTTCGTGTATCTATTAAGTTAATAAACTTTTTTAAGTAAAGAACTACTAGTACTTTTAATAACAATACCTGCTAAGATCACAAAAAAATGAAACAATATCTGCTATCTGTATTTTAATAAAAACCGAAAAATATTTACCTAAAACAGTTTTTTACAGTCACAGGCCACATATTTTTATTAAATATATTAAAATTTAACATTTAAGAGTCACCACATACAAGCGCCATAATGTTTTTTTATTCTCCTGTAAAAAAGGGTATCTTGCACTTAGCAGGTATTGTCATATCGTCGACGATATATTAGTTCACTGTTTGCACATGTTCGAAAGTATTATTCACATATTTCCAGTCAGAGGACATTCTTTTTTGTCAAACGATAGAGATTTTTCTCTCATTGAGAAACACAAGAAAACTGCAACCGTTGAAGTACCTTCAGAATGGGACAAGTTTATAAAGGAGGCACGCGAAAAGCCATCCCCATATAAACTTGTTAACGTACAGTCACACATGATATTTGATATATCAAGCAATACTTCTCCATACTTTCTAAAAAACCCAAAACCACCGGTAAAAATTAAAACGGCAAGAATGCTTAAGTATGACAGAAATGAACCAGGATATGTGCTAGCAAAGCAAAGTTATACTGGAGAGTGGGAACGTAGTTATATACGAAATAACAAATCATTGTCAAAAGAACTGCGTTTGACACCAAACTACAAGGAAGCAGTTCCACTAAAACAATCTAAAATCAGACATCTTTCAAATTTATCAAAATATATTAAAAAGCCTGATAATATAAATTTTTATAATAGGTTGTTAAATACGGATAAACATGGTAGTGACGACAATGATGTGGAAATAGACAATGACGACAACAGCAGCGGAAATAGTGACGTAGAATAAGAATATTATCATACAGTTAGAATACTTTTCTTTTTATCATCTTAAAACAAGTTAAAGTTTTTTTTCTATTTAACTAATTTTTTAATGGCACTGACAACAAGTCAACATGCCAGACGTTAAAGGTTTCGTTTCAATAAATATTTATATATAAAAATATCATTTTTTTACAAGCCTCTTTAAAAAATTCCTAAAAAACAACATTTGTCACGACTTTCTTCACGTTTTTTTCGTTTACAAATCCGGTTATTTTTTTGAAATATATCTTAAAATATATTAGATGCCTTCTTACATGCCCTAAAAATAAAAAAAATAGGTGTCTTAGTCGAATAACCAAGAAAAACAGTTTTTGTTAATTTGCCACAATTCACTTTTTTTTACAAATGTTGTTTTTCCCAGAAACCCCTCAATTGTCAACATTTATTTTTTTACCCTACGTATTACAAAGCATTTCCCGTTGGACGTATGAGAATTTCAACCTTCTTCTAATTCAACTCATTTTTATGTAAATTACCTGTCTGTTTCTGTACTTTCGTTATATATGAAATACCTGCTTTAGCCCGTCTCTGATAATACATTTAATATATTCATGTCATGGCTTGTCTCTAAGTTACGTTTACCATGAAATTTGTAGCAAGTGACAAATTATCGCTCCAAACGTTTTTAAAAAGGAGCCTCTCATACTTGTTTACTGGTAAAATACCTATATTAACTTATTTTTTATGATTTTTATTGCAATAATTAAACCATCAAAGTTCAAAATGTCTTCTAGTATGTTAAGTTTTGAAGTGTAAATTCCATTTAAGGTGAGAGTTTAATTGCGTTTAATTTTATTTACTAATAAATTTAAAAAATTAAAATTAAAGAGCTAAGATTTTGTAGACGTTTTTGAAATAAATCAGAGCAATTGCTGACGCCAATATAAATAATGTAACTTTGATAATATTAAAAATAAAAGTTTAGACAATTATAAAAAATGTAATACGATTTTTTCAAGGTGTCAAATACTCCATAAAAAATCAAATATAATTACCTTGAAACCAATTCTCAAATCAATGTATTAACGGAGAAAATTGAGAAATAAAATACAAGCTGAAATTTGCATTTTAATAAAATATTTTTTTGCCAATACTATTTCTATTTCTACGAAAAAAATAGGACATCACTGCAATATATCCGTCAAGTGCACAAAATGCGATCACGGCGAGTCAGTAGCAGAAGATTCCGTCCAAATTAGAGAAAATAGTTTTGAGAACGTTTTTGGTTTATCGCTGTTATTACGGGTTCGAATATAAGATATGTAACGGCTCCGATAGCCGAGAAGGTCGTATTAAACTGCCACCTTATATAGTAAATTTTATCAAATGGTATATGAAGACCATAATTTGTCTAGGATAATTTGGTTAAAATATAACTTAAATAAAATCTGTAAACGTCATGATTATTTGGATTAAATTCTAGTTTCCTTATTGATACAGCTTTTTCCTCTAGTTTATTTATTTTATAAATAGAAGTCTGGAAATACATTAGACCAAATGTTCTGTAGCCGTTGTTTTTCATAATTTAATTATATTCGATGATCCTCTTATAAGAAAAGAAGGCTTTTATAATGACTTTTTGTATTAATACATCAAATAATTTTGCAAACAAAACTCATGTCTACTAATAAAGCCAGCAACTCCAAACTTAAAAACACTAATTAGCCTCAAATATTATCACCGCTCTCATTTCAACAATCCTGTAGCAAATTTTATTACATTATTTTTGAGTTACTAGAGTCATCGGTCTCAAAAAGTCCAAAGGTATACAAGTCATATCCTTCCTGGCAGGGCCAGTCCTACAAGATGTGCCGAGCGTGCACCGCCAAAACAAAGGGCAGCCGAATATAAAAAAAGAATGCTATACTTCTTCAACAATGCTAGAGGTAACTCTTTTCGATAAATTTCAAAATTTCTGTAAAATTTTTATTAATTTTACTCTGAGTCATGGTATATCTATTATTGTTCTTCTTACCTTTCCACTAGATGTCTCTCAGAAACAGAAATAAAAAAGAGAGTCTATGTCTATAAAAAAGAATAGAAAAGAGAAATAAAAGAAATCTCTAAACAAAAGGAGCTTTTAAAAAGCATTTTAGACGACCGGAAAAAAAAACAATAAAAAGTTTTGAATCAAATTGCAGAGTTAGATTATTCTCTGCCATTCATATCCACCAGTAGTAATGACGATACAAACAATAAATCAATGGATATCACACCAGATAAAGGCGATGAAATGGCAAGATCATCATCAACATTATCAATTGGTCCCATTTCCAGTAAAGCCGAACGTGAAGATAAGATAGAAGAGAAAAAAGGTTCTGCTCAAATAGCACTAGATGATTCAGGTACTTGGCCTAATATATTAACAAATAAAAAATATTTATTCATCGAACATGGTCCTAAACAAGTAGCAAATTTTAAATTTCCTGTCGATGAGAGTGGTAGAAAATTTAGCTGTTCATATTATAGCAAAACTTTAGTGAAGATAGTTCAACATAATTAAGTTGTATTAGTCATTCCTACAAAACAAGTTCACCATGGTTTGCTGTATAATAGTTTTAAATTGTTGCTTAAAATATAACATAACTTTAATAAATCGTTTGCAATTTAAGTATTTGAAAATTGAAATAATTAAATTTGTTTCTACAGCTTTATGGAGCAAGCATAATTTATAATATTGCTAAAATCAGCAAGCTTAACATAACTATCGCCAAAACTTTGGCTTTCTTTTAGTATTGGAGCATGATTATTTAAAACATAATTATTATCTGGCTGAAAGATAGTTTTTTTTTTATTGTGAAAACGATCTTATAATTTTGCTGTAAAAATATTGTAAAAACTAATTTATATAACAATTTAGTTTCAGAGAACAAAATAGAGGTTTCTGCAACTTTAGTACAACAAATTATCATTCCAGAAAAAGCAATATAATATCAGTAATATATAGTACTCTTGTTAACTAAAAATTACAAAACTACTTTGTTAGTTGGGTACTATGGCTTTTCTGATTGGCGTCATTGACAGGATTTTAAAAAAGTTTATTTTCAAAAACAGAATACGACAAATGTAGTCACGAGTGGTAACACGAGTGGTCTTAAGTGCTCGAATTTAAATTCGAATGCGACTTTTGTGGACCGTAAACATGGATGAGGCAGATTTTGATGAAATTAACATTTGGAGCCTGTTGAAAATCAAAACATTATTAAAGAGTGACAGCATAGAAGGAAGAGGTTTATTTATAAAAGTCTCTTTGGAATCAACGATAATGTGTTATTTATCAAGCATTTTTGACTTTCTAAGGATTCAACGCGACTCCTAATACAAGGTGGCGCAAAATAAAATCACCTATTTGTTTTTTATATAAAAGTAAGAATAATAAAAAAACAGTCATATTATAAATGAAAAATATTTATTTAAACTCTAAAAATTTGTTTTATTACACACTAAAAACAATATCGACCAAGTGGCCACCCTCAGCATTCATGCAATAAGGAGCTCTTTTTATAGAATTTCTCATAACTTTCTCCTACATTTCAGGTCAATTGCTTCCCGGATGTTGTCTATTAATGCTTCTAGGGTTCGCTGATTATTTACAAATACCCTAGCTTTGAGATAACCCCATATCCAAAGTCTGGAACAATTAAATCGAGAGACCTTGGCGAATATGCAATATCGGCGTTTTTCGAGATAAGGCGTCCAGGAAAAATTCTAATAATCGACGAATTATTTTGATAAAAAAATGTTACGATTTCGGCACGTTCTCGAGGCGTATATCGATTCATAATGAATTTCCTAAGTATCTACTTTGCAACTGACAGAAAAACTCGAACAGATGTCTAGTACGAACGAAACCATGATAACATTCCATAGGGTACTTGATTTTGCGCCACCTTATAGATATTGTAACTAGCATGTTATGACGCCTCCAAGAAGAGTATCAGCAGGATATATTCGTGACATATTTTAATATTTGATTTGCATTGCAATATTGGTCCTCTCTTCCATATTTATTGAAGAAAAAACATCGCAGCTTAAAAAATTCTGCTATTTGCTTTAAAATTGTCTAAACTTCTTAGCATGGAGGGGGTTCTAATAAACAAACAAAACCAAAACACCCTCTAATGTTGACAGTTGAATTTGGTATGCGACATTTGCCGTGTGCGACAATTTTCATGCGAGACTCGAGAATTCTACCCCTGTTTGTGAACTAAACATTCTTAGGTAAAATCGAGAGCAAAATGTTACTCGTTTCCAAAATACAGGGCGATATGAGTAATAATAATAATAATAATAATAATAATAATAATAATAATAATAATAATAATAATAATAATAATAATAATAATAATAATAATAATAATAATAATAATAATAATAATAATAATAATAATAATAATGTTTATTTACAGATAACTTGTTTTTACAGTGATACGCTAAAATAAAAATTACAAATATAATAAATATTGTAAATAAACACAGGTGACCCATAAAACCTAAGGGTTGTGCATGGGCTTGATAATTTATTTAAATTATTTGCTCTATTTATTAATTTTTTCTTTTAACAGCATTATAATATTCATATAAATTATAGCTATGAAGTAATGTAATGTACCTAATCTTTTTTTTTTATCATTTTTTTTTTTACTTAATTCGAATATTTTAAACTAACTACAACTATCTACCAAAGAATGTAATATATTTCTATCGGTAATTTTAAGAAATGATTTTATTCTAGACTTAAAAAGATTATATGAATGTATAGTCCTTATGTACAATTTGTAAATATCTGGAAAAAAGTTATAAATTTTTTTTGCTAAATAACTCAGTTTCCTGCTTTTTTGGCAATAGGAATTCTAGTATTTCCTGCATGTCTAGTTCGAGTTTCATAAGTGTGTTCAATTCCACAGATTGAAGATCTCTTTTTGTAAAGATAGTTTGCAACATTATAAACGAAGAGTTGTCGACAAAAATATGTGTTTCTTGAAACAATAGGTCTGAAGGGTAAGTTATATCTTTAAAATACATTATTATTATTTTTTTTTTGAATGATCTCAAGTTTTTTTAGGTGGGTCAGCAAAACTGAGCCCCAGACTAATATGGCATATGATAAACGGGACTCCACAAATGCGTGATATAAAATTTTAAGGTGTGTTATGTCTAAACAATTTCTCATATATTTAAATTTATATAAAACTTGTCTTAAATTATTTACAATGTTATTTATGTGTTTATCCCATTTCAAATGAGAATCTATATGAATTCCTAGATATTTAGCCTTATGTTTGAGGAAAATATTTATTTGGTGTCCATGATTTATGATTGTAAGTTTATTCAATTTAGGAAGACCTGTTTTATAGCTTGCAAACGGAATGGCTAATGTCTTATCCATGTTTATTGTTAATTTGTAATGCGAAAACCAATCAAACACATTTTTTAAATCATTTTCACAAAGTTCTTTAACTGCGTCCCAAGTTTTAGCCGAGTATAAGATTAATGTGTCATCCGCAAAGCTTATTACTTCTCCTTTTATTTCTTTTGAAACCAATAATTTATTAATATATAGGAGTATAGTACCTTGTGGGACACCATATTTTATAGGTTTATAAGAGCTTACATATTTATTTATTTTTACTGCTTGAACCCTTTCACTTAAATAACTAGAGAAAAGGTCCAAAGATTTACCTCTGACACCCACTTCCTCTAAGACCTCCAACAGCTGCATATGACATACAGTGTCGAAAGCCTTTGCCAGGTCAAGAAAAATACACATTGTGGGAACGCTTTTATCTATATTACTGTACAATATATCTGTTAGATGACACATAGCATCAGTGGTAGATAAGCCGTTTTGGAAACCATATTGCTTTGAACTTATAATATTATATTTATCAATGTATTTAGTTAGTCTATTTTTCAAAGCTTTTTCCACGATTTTTGATAAAGTGGTAATTAAGGAAATAGGTCTGTAGTTACTCATTTTATTTTTGGGTCCTTTTTTATGAACTGGGATAACCACTGATTTTTTAAGGTCAGTGGGAAAAATTCCTGTTTCAAAAATTTTATTAATTAAATGGCTAAGGGGATTTGCAATCTCATGAACTATTTCCTTAAATATCTCACTTTTTAGTTTATCATACCCTGGTGTTTTGTTTATTTTTAACGTTTTTATAATTTCTTTTACTTCATTTATATCTACAGGTTCTAAAAAGAATGACTGTATTGTGCTATTTTTTCCAGGTTTGGGCGATAGTGGAGGAATTATTTTTGAGGCCAGTTTCTCTCCTACTTTGGAGAAATACATATTAAATCTTTCGGCCTGTTCTTCCTCGCTTATAAGAATTTCATTACTTTCAGTAAGTATTTTTTTTATACTATCTTTTTTCACTGGTACATCAATTTCCCTAACTATTTTCCACAAATTTTTATTATTATATTTATTTTTATTTATTTTATTATTATAAAATTTTTTTTTAGTTTCTCTAATAATTCGATTTAGATTATTTCGATATTTAGTATATTTTAAAAGGGTAGTGGGGTTCTGATTATTCCTATATTCGTTAAATAACATGTTTTTAGTGGCAATTGAATTTATAATACCTTGCGTTATCCAATCTTTTCTTTTAATCTGGGTCCGTTTAATTTTTTGACATTTGTACAAAGTGCGACACTTTGACTAAGTAGTTTAACTAGGTGATTTGTTTTTATATTTACGTCATTTAAGTTATAGAAGGGCGTCCAATCATGACTATTTAATTTTTGTTTTAGGGCGCTGTAGTTTATATATTCAACCAAATTTTTGCGTTCATTTTTAAATTTACAGTTAAAATTTAATTTTAATCCTACTAGTAAGTAAGTAAGACCTTCATCCCTTATACATTTTATGCCACTCTTTAGAAACTTATTTGGGCTATAATTTTGAATTTCAAAGTTTTTTTTTAAATAAATCATGCAGTCTTTTTAAAAACTAATAAACAAATTAAATTTAAAAATAAATTAAAAAAAGGGTATTTACCTTTGAATCCAAAGATCTAGAAACCTAATCAGTTTATAAGTACATGATTTATTAAAAAAATCAAACAATTTAAAATCATAGTTTAAATAAGTTTTGGAGAGTAAAATTTAGAACGAATGAATGTGTCATTATTCCATGCCGCACGCCACTGGCAAATTTTATTAAATTGATTGTTTTGTTGATAATAGCTATTTATGCAACCACTTACGAAATGCCTGTATTAAAATATTTTCCGGACGGGCAAAGCAAGGTTCCGCATTATAAACGAGTTACATAAAACGCCATTTCGTAATGTGTTACATACAATATTTTTTATATTTTTTCAAGATTATTTATAAAATAGTAGACATCTAGGCAACCTATATTATTTTCTTGTATTGTTAGTTGCATTTGCATAACTTCATTCTGTTTATTGTTTTATATTGCTTGTTAAAGTTATTTAGTTTTCAAGAAAGTGGGTTATTTTATCCTGTATTGTGTTTTAATTATTTTGTGCTGATTTAAAATGAAAAATAAGGACTAAAACAGCATTATTACTGGGTTGTAACATCAACCAAATTCTATTTTTACAAGTCAACCTGCCCTTCTTTGATATAAACTTTTAATAATAATGTATGTATTGATAGTAAAACTCAAAAAGGTTATTTTTATTGGAAGGGTACATGGGAAAAAAGACGAATGTCCAGAAATTCCAATTTTAAGATAATGGCGAGAATATTATGCTAAAATTCTGTAAGAATCCGATAAAATATTGAAACCAATCAAAATAGATGAGAGTAGCAAGCCACAGCGAATCTAAAAAAAGATGAATGTCCATAAATAAGGCAATTGCGCATTGTTTTGTTTTTCTCTTGATGCTTTTTCCCATTTTATTACGCGCTATTTTACTATTTCATGTGCCGTTTAATCGACCACCTGCTGTATGCTGTTTTTTTTGTCGCGCCCACGTGCAATCGAAATATTTCGCAATGAGTGACGAAGACATTGAAGTTGATAGTGCAGTTTTTCCCCTAAGGTCTAAGAAACGGAAATCTCATGGACGTATGAAGAACGTTGCTAAGTTATTAAAAGAGGCCAAGTTGTAATTGTACTAGATTTAAGTGTTTTGAAAATGTCACCAAAGGAGAGAAGCTGCAAATAATTAAACAGTTTAATGAACTTAAAGATCATGATGAACAAAATTTGTATCTGGGTGGCTTAATTTCACATGCCCCCGTTAAACGACACCGAAGTAGAAGTAAAAATGTAAAGATGTTGAATATCACTCATATTCGTACACATACAAAATTCGTGTTCAACGAGATAATACAGCTATAGAAGTGCCAATATGTTATAAAGCTATGCTTTCTATGCATGGAATATCTATGAAACGGCTTTAGAATATCCAGCAGCAGTTTTGGACATGTTAAACACGATGAGCGAGGTCAACATGCTAATCGGAAAAATCGTCTTCCAGATGAAATATCCATTGCCGTTTAAAGGCCGAAAATCACATTACAGTCTCCATTACTCCCAACGTGTATATTTACCGGAAGATCTTAACGTGAAAATAATGTTCAACATGTTTTTGCAACAAAATCCTAAGAAAAAGGTTTCCTACAAGACTTACAGAACTATATTTGTAACTAAATTCAACATAAGTTTTGTCTATCTACGAACGGATACTTGCAGTGCCTGTGATGAGCACAAGGCCAAGAAAATGAGCATCGAAAACGATCTTTCACAAGAAGCGCGTTTATCTCGTTTGGAAACAGAACATAAATTGCATCTTCTAAAAGCTGAAATGTTTTACAAAAGAAAGAGAGCAATCCGTTTAAATTCTCAAAAACGTACAGAAAAAGGGGCAATAGCAATGGATTTTTAAAAAAGTTTGCTAGTGCCCAATATCAGCACTAATGATATATATTATAAACGCCAACTTTCTCTTTATTCCTTTAATATCCATGTGCTGTCTAACTCTGCTTCATATTTATATACTTAAACGGAAACTACTGGACGTAAGGGCTCAGATGAAGTAGCATCTATGCTATTTCATTTTATTTTCAATTTCTTGGATGAGCGTGTCCAAGAGTTAGAAATTTTCTGCGATTCGTGTAGCGGCCAAAATAAGAATTATATCTTCTTTCGTTTACTGCATTTTGTTGTCCATAAGACAAAACGCTTAAGGAAAATCAAGAAGATGTTTCCAGTTCGGGGACACAACTATCTAGAATGCGACCGCAACATGGGTCTTATAAACCAAAAGGCAGTAGTAGAACTTCCGGGTGGATGGAATGAGCAAATTTTGAGTCCTAGAAGTAAACCTGGTCCTTTTTCTGTAATTATCTGTAAATATCAAAATATTTTTCGTTCATGGACGTATCACTTTGCAAATTAATTCTATAAAAAGTGTCCATTTGAAAGCAGACCAATCAAGAAACTTACAGTACATATTGGTATGGCGAGAATGATAGAATATCGTGAATCATATAACGGAGCTTGCACGACTTCTGGGTAGCTATTTTTGAATCTCGGGGAGTAGAAATTTTAAGGGAAGAATGAGACAAAAATACAAATTTAGTGCGTTGCAGATAAAGAAGAAAAACCGGTTTTCTACTCCCTCGAATTCAAGAATAGCTACCCTGTAGTGATACCTCCTACAAGAAAGTAAAAAAATATCGATTTGTTACCTCCTGGCCAATTTGAAGTACCTTCTTTAAAATACAACGAGAAACTCCCTATATCTTTGAAAATACCTACAAGAACTTAAAAGATTTTTTGTGAGCCCAGTGCATGTAAGTACTTTGAAAACTTACCTTATAACCACACTACCGAAGATTAAGACGCTTAATTTATGTTAAAGGTTATAATTTACAACATTCAAGTTAACTTTTTGACGTTCGCTGTATGTTTTTTTATTATATTATAACATAACCTAATATTTTAATATGTTCTATTTAAATTTACCATTATTGCATTAGTTTTAATAAAAAAGGTACTTATTTAGATTATTTGTTTATAGCTTGCCCTAAGTTTTTACTAATCTTAAGATTTTTTGTTGTTTTTTTTGTACTACTACATCTAAAACACCCTGTATATTTTTTGTATGAGAATTTGTTTTTTTATTTTCGTTGGTACTACTTTTATATTCCCAAAAATTGTATACTCTTTCGTTTCAATAAATAATGCAATTACTAGCACATAGTTTATGATAAATTACTCCATTTCCCCACTCGAACCTATGTCGTATAACTCCAAATATTTTTTTTCCAGCTACAAAAATAAACCTGTGCACTCAATAATAAGTAAAAAGTAATCTGTACTACCAGAGAAAAAAATATTTGAGCCAAATATATTTTAAAATCCTACTTTCTCAGAAACTCATTTTTTTGACATTCATCTTTTTTCCCCTCTACCCTTCATTTGTTATTGACATGATGAATTTTTCGTAACCAGTTTTATAATGTTCATCATTATGCAACTGTTTGCGTAAAGTAGATCATTTTGACACTCTATTTTTAAAATTTGAAATTTTATGAAACCAAAAACCTTGGCCGAAAATAATAAAATTATAACGAGAATAAACAAATTATACTTAGCCATTAATTATTTTTGAATTTGCAACTATAAAACATTGTAAGTTTCGCGGTCGACCATTACATGCGCGTTGTGTGACATTTTAGGCGTAATTTCAAACAATTATGTTATGTTATGTTGATAATGGGGTGTTAATACACTGCGACCTAAAAGATCTATTGTGCCCCCTTCTGTCGCCACTGCACTAAGGAAATATCTCAATGCCTATAGCGACCCTTCCAATCCTATTTTCTCAAGGAAGTGTAGGATTTGAAGTGGCTTCAAGTTAGGTAAGTCTCCCTCTTCTATTTGATATCCTCCTAGATATAGTGCCCTTGGATTCTGGAGTGCTACACATTCAGTTAGGATGTGAATGGAGGTTTCGTCCTCCTCCTCACAGAATCTGCACTCACTATCCTCTACTACTCTCAGTTTACTTAGGTGTCCTTTTAGTCGGCAGTGCCCGGTAAGGATCCCTGTTACAATACGTAGCCTGTTCTTGCTCAGGCAGATGCAGGCTTCCGATCTTTTTTGGTTATATTCACCCAGAAGTATCTTGGCCTGTCTTAGCCCCAAGAGATTGTTCCAATTATCGGTTCTTCTACTACCCAATTCTTTTTTAATCTCTTCTAATATTATGTTACTGCTGATACCGCAGAACGGCTCAGGTCCTACAAAGGGTGTTTGAGCCCCTTTCCTTGCAAGACTATCTGCAATCTCGTTACCCTGTACCCCGTTATGTTCCGGGACCCAAGTGAGAGTTTCAAACAATTAACAATGATCTCTTTATAGGTATCAACCATTAATTCAGAACATATTTTGGTATATACCATATAAAATTATTCATTACCAAGACAAATATTTGTGAAAAGTTTCACATAAAAAGTTACTTCTCCTTTTATCTTCTATCGCAACCTTGCACCGATCCTGTTTTGTCAGTAGTGCCAACTTAAAACTCAGTTATCCTTTCGCCCAACATGTAGGGAGTCAAAATTTGTTTTTGTGCTATATCTAGGGTTTCTGAGATCTATGGGGACGGCACATTGGGTCTTTGCAAAAAGAAAATTTCACTCTAGATATAGAAAGTACAACAGCATATATTTCCTAACATTTAAACTTTTATCAGGTCACACTAAATTTCTAATCAGCTATGATTATGCTTCATTCAGTTCTAAAAATATGACATTAATTCTAAACCGAAGCATCTATGGTAGTTTGTAAACTCTAAGAAAAATAGTCCACCATGCATTACCATAATTAAATATAATAATTCTATTGTTATCGATAAACAAGATGTCTTCAATATCTGTTTCAAATATTTTATGTCATAAACTTAAATAAAATGAATAAAGTTGCAACTAACAATGTACCAACATAATATTGGTTGCATAGATGTAAGTAATTTTTAACCAAACATAATTTTATATATAATCAAGTCAAAACTAAGAAAAATTTTGTATGTAACACATTATAAAATACTGTTTTGTATAACTCGCTCTGCTCGTCTCTCAAAGATTTAACCGTTACATAAAATAAGACATTTTGTAACTAATTACATAAATAACTATTGTAACATGATAAAATTAAACACCAATCCATAGAATTGTTTTAATTTTCTTTTTTTTAAATCAATTTTTAAAATAAATGTTTTCTTACCTTCTTAGAAGAGCTATTAAAGGTTTCCTGAAAATTTAATAAAACTTTTCACCTTAAATTAAATTTGTTTCTTTCTAAACTTTCCGAACTAACAGCATTTCATTGCTCCACTTACTTTCATTAGAAATTAAAGAAGCAGGCAGCGAGTTGGTTTTTGTACCTATTTTTTTTCTGTTTAACTTAAAAGGCGTATTTGGCTTTTTCATTAAAATCGTGGTGAAAAGGACCAGAAACATTAAACAATAGAACGAAACCCTGATTAAATTAACCCGGTTTTAAAATCAAATTGAATGAAAAATACCATTTATCAATTCAACGAAATGTTTGCTTTATTAAATTATAAATTATTAGTGGTACTGGAAAACCATAGAGTTGTTAATTAAAATCTGAAAACGTTTTTATAAATAACTAAAAGAAAACATTAAAGAAAGTATATTTTAAACATATTATAGATCAAATGGTTCTGAAAGATTTTCCCTTTAAAGTGCAATAATTAAATTTTCCATTTAATTATGTGAAATTTACAGCTATTTTTACACCGTACGTCTACCATTTATTTTTCAAAATTTGATTATATTTCCAATTTTAAATAATGTACATGAAACGAAAAACAAAAATTCAAAGTGATTCTATTAGGGTACTAACAAAACCGTCTTAGAAAAGCCATTAAAAAGATTGAATAGGCCGATTCTGTAAAATACACCAATTCAGAATACAAATGGGAGTTGGGCAAAAAAGAATCTACAAAAAGCCAATAGACTTGCTGAACATCTCGAAAGGACATTTCATTCAAATGAAAACGTTAACATATTAGCATGGGAAAACCTTATTCCAGAAGAAAGTGAAATAGGACTCACAACCAGTGGCGGGCTTGCAACGGTTAGTACTACAACCCTCAATTTATATAAATATAAAATGAAATACGTTATTTACACATACTATATCTAATAAAGAAAAAAGAAAACATTATATTCCAAGACGTTTTTTTATAACTTTAATAAGGCTGCATTGTTTTACTTGTTCCAATCATAATCTGGCGTTCAATATGTTTTCAGTTAGCTGATGTTGCTGACTGGCAGTTTTAAAAGTTATAGCTCCTGTTAGATTGGGCAATGTCACTCGCAATGTTTTTTTTTTTAATTTGGTGTCATCGGCATCAACTACTTAGATTATTAGGCTCGTATTCTGTGTAGGCTTTGTAAATATTGTAAGGGTTTTCTTGCCACAGAGAAAACGGTTCCTTACGAATGGCAGCGACAGATTTTTGGATATGGTTTACTCCACAAAATCTCGAAACGGCGTCGAAAGTACTCGGATAGCTACAGATTGAGATGAAAAATTCCATGGGTCAAAGGTCACTTAGACACAGGTAATAGTAGGCCACAAGTAACGGGCTTTAATCGTTGCTTGGACTGGTACAGATTTAATCACTAGCTAAAATACAAGGAGGGAAATAAAGTATGGAATTAGTAACCAGTAATACGGCAAGTTAACATTGACACATATATTGTGAATAACTATTTACACATTAAAAATAATAAAAGTTATATGTGTCAACGCCCACCCTAGTTGCGATGATAGTCAATGTAACCCTGAACAAAAAAAAATAAACAAACAAAACAGACGGTATTAAATCCCGACTAGTCTCAATCA